GGCAGAAGCGCCTGACCTGGGCTACAGAGAAGCAGCACTGGACTGTTGCTCAGTGGTCCAAAGTACTTTTTTTGGATGAAAGCAAATTTTGCATGTCATTCGGAAATCAAGGTGCCAGAGTCTGGAGGAAGACTGGGGAGAAGGAAATGCCAAAATGCCAGAAGTCCAGTGTGAAGCACCCACAGTCAGTGATGGTCTGGGGTGCCATGTCAGCTGCTGGTGTTGGTCCACTGTGTTTTATCAAGGGCAGGGTCAATGCAGCTAGCTGTCAGGAGATTTTGGAGCACTTCATGCTTCCATCTGCTGAAAAGCTTTATGGAGATGAAGATTTCATTTTTCAGCACGACCTGGCACCTGCTCACAGTGCCAAAACCACTGGTAAATGGTTTACTGACCATGGTATTACTGTGCTCAATTGGCCTACCAACTCTCCTGACCTGAACCCCATAGAGAACCTGTGGGATATTGTGAAGAGAAAGTTGAGAGACGCAAGACCCAACACTCTGGATGAGCTTAAGGCCGCTATCGAAGCAACCTGGGCCTCCATAACACCTCAGCAGTGCCACAGGCTGATTGACTCCATGCCACGCCGCATTGAAGCAGTCATTCATGCAAAAGGATTCCCGACCAAGTATTGAGTGCATAACTGAACATGATTATTTGAAGGTTGGTGTTTTTTGTATTAAAAACACTTGTCTTTCATTGGTGGGATGAAATATGCTAATTTTTTGGGACAGGCATTTTGGGTTTTCATGAGCTGTATATCATAATCATCAGTATTAAAACAATTAAAGACCTGAACTATTTCAGTTGGTGTGCAATGAATCTGAAATATATGAAAGTTTCATTTTTATCATTACATTATGGAAAATAATGACCTTTATCACAATATGCTAATTTTTTGAGAAGGACCTGTAGCATCTAGCAAGATAGCAGCCACAAATTACAACAGCGATTAGTGGCCATTTCAGCGCATTTCTTTTTCAGTGGACTTAACCTTTAACATCTTTGATGCCATGCGAGTGCAGCAGTGTAGTAGCAGCAACTTTGAACCCGAGTACGTTCTTACAAATGACATGTAATGTTGAACTTATGTCCCGAGGATAAAAGGCCGCCAACGGCAAATAAAGCTGCTATTGTGGGTGGCCCACAGTGACCCACAGCCTTGGCAGGCAGACCTCCCACTTACAGCTATTTAACTGACCCAAAACTGAAGCCTGACTCAGTGGTGAAGGACCTAAAACTGCCAGCATTTACTAAACTTCATAATCCTGCGCACGGCCTGAAAGGGGACGAAATTCATGCAATGAGCCGCTTTGAGAACATTCAAAGAGCGTATTCATTCATTCAGCTTGTTGCACGTCATGAACGGCTCGTGTGTGCAGCCACAGCTGCATTTAAAACCCTAAATGTGGCATTTGTGCAGTGTACTGTAGGAAAATGGTAACTCTTGGGACATCACTCGAAAGCAGAACCACAGTTCAAACGAGATGGCAGATTTGATCTGCGATAGCTCGTACTTTCTCCTTCACGTTTTTCACCGCAGTGAAACAAACTACAGCATGTCTGACGTATGTGAAAGAGCAGGTAATAAGAGATCTGGGTGAGGGCACAAACAAAGAGGCCCCTTTCCCTATGGGGAATTTGTCACCTTCCAACACATTACTCACTGCTAATATCTCACAGTGAACGAGCATTCAGCTTTTCTGGGAACAAGCTGGGATGAGTCTCTCAGCCATTCCTCACTGGGGTATGAACAGAAAACGTGAGCAAAGGATACAAAGATGTAGTCATCCATGTATCTCTTCTTGAGGTTGTCCACAATGGCGTCCTCGTTGATCTTGCTGAGCAGGACCATGTCATCCACGCCGCTCTGTTTGACATTGTGGCTCTGCCAGTGGTACCGGTAGTGCCCCCGGCTCCCCTGAAACAAACACACATACAACGTAGGATCTTCAGGTCACTCAGAGCGACACAAAGAGCTGAACAAATCTAGAACGTGACATATGGCAAGAACAGAAACAGATGAGATGCAGTTGTTTTTTTTTTAACCAAACTGTGGTTACTATCATTCCAACAGTGAAAAGTAAATGTGCGCACATTTTCTGCTCCCAGCAACCTTGATGAGTAACGTTCAAATAGTGCAAGCTCAGATTCTCAAAAGTGATTTTTGTTAAAGCTGCTTCGACCCAACTTTTATCCACATCCTCACATTGTCGGTTTTTGTTATAGCCGAGTCTCAGGAGAACTGAGGTCATCCATCATGCGCGATGAGTCAGAACAGATTGGCTACTGGACGGGAGTCATGGTGTGCCGTTACTGAAACCAGTTTATTGCTTCTGAATGAAGAGCTGCTAAAAGCTCATCTTCCTCAGGATTCAGTGAGAAAATCTGAGGGTTTAGTTTAGGTAGGAGCAAAGAAACCTTCTAAAAGGAAAAATATTAGACAACAGAACAAATTGATGGTAGATAGACACTTTAAAGATGTTCTCCAGTCCATAAATTTCAAGGGTTAAAATATCAACTTTTTCTCTGGATTACGGAATTAAAAATATCCGTTTTAAAACAGAAAACGCAACGTTATCGTCAGATCAAGCTTCAAAGAGAAAAGCACATAAATGCTGCTATATCCACCCAGTCTGACTGACTTTCACTTTTAAAGGGAGACACAAATGTACCTAACTTGCTAAGTTAAGGAGAGCCAGAAGCATTTAACATCCTCCTGGGTAATTGTATTTTTAACACCAACAAATTAAAAACACTTTACAGACTTGGTTATGAGGAGATGGCGGGGAATGCCAACAGCTTTTCAGCCTAATTCAGTGGGAATTTCCCCGTCGGAGGGAAAGCTGCTGCCTGAAGAGTTTTCACATCAAACCGTTCTATAAAGTGTTTCAGGTGCTGCCGAGAACGATGCTCAGTCTTTACTGAACATCTGAACACGGTGCTCATGTCTCTTTCACGTCCCAACAACAAGGGGCAAAAGGTGGACTCTAGATTTGATTAGTTTAAGCATGAAAGTCGTGCGAGGACGTAAAACACAAACAAAATGTGCAAATTTGTCAAAAAGCTCTACAAATTGCAATGAACAAAAAGACCAGGGATTTCTCAAACAAAATGATCAGATTCTCACCAAGCTGTTGTTAAGACAGAGGCAATAAAGTTTATTTATAATATGTATGAACAGGCAAAGTGACATTACATCATAAAATGACAGATTGCACAAAGGCAGCATCATGTGGAACAGTTTTATTTAACGTGCAGCCGGATCTAAGGCCTCACTGAGTTTTGGGGAATGCATTTTATATTAAAATTAAAAACTAAACCATAACCTACTCAGAACAGACAGTACAAATAAAATGATTCTGTGAGCTATGGGCTCAGCTGAGTTTAAATTACAATGATGTCTAGAAAGGTTGTGATTTTTATTCCACGTTTTGCTTTTTCACATAGAAGACTTTTATCATTGTTCTGCCACCGACTTCATAAAAAGAAAACTTTGCATATTTTGTAATCAGGTGAACGTTGAGAGAGAATACTGCCGTAACCACAAAAGATAAAAACTCAAACATGTTGCGTATAACTCCAAGCACTCCGCCAGGCATGAAAGTAGGCCAAACGAAAAAGGGAGCGATAAGTTGGAGACAACGGAGAAAAATGCCAAATATTCTTCAGCTTGTTTTGTTTGTTTTGCCCAACAAGATGTGTGGACTAAGAAAATGTTCCTTCATACTGCTGAAGACTGTGGGAGTCGTTTTACAGTGAAGGAGGGCCCCACAATCACACAAAGATATTTGGGAGGCGCTTAAAACAATCGCACTCCCACAGCTGCCAGAGGTGGACGGTTGAAGGGCCAGTTCCAGAAAAATTTATAAAATGTTTCACTTTGCACTGAGTTTTATGCCAGGAAAGTAAAAATGAACCATTCTCTGTCACAAAACATTTAAACCACTGCATCCATTTGTATTAAGAAATGATGCCAATAATCGTTAAATATCACCATCATGTCATTCGTTGTGACCCGTCTCTTTTTCAGCATTTTAATCGTTAACATTTTGACCCCATCATGAAAACGGTGGGAGGTTTTATTGGCAGTGGAAGTTTATCTGATTAT